GACCCTCAGCGACCAGCGATCAACTCCAGTGCGCGGAACGGAACTTGCTCTCGAAAATGTATCAAGCCGCTACGCTTCCCCCCGCGGCTGCCATCCCTCCCCACTTATCCCACACTAGTTCAAATCACGTAAAAAAACCCCATCAAAACATGCACAGAAGCGTGTTCATATCTTTCATGTTACGGTTAAAACTTAGAACCTCATTTTTGAGCGAACGTTACAAACACGAGACAAAATAATATTTTCGAAAACAAATCGCAATCTTATCAGCAAGGTTTCATTGATTCCTGTTAGATTTAACCGGTACCAAACCGCGGCAGGCAGCTAAGAACAGCGACATATTTGCCACGGTTAGCACAAGTGGCGGTGATATATTCAGGTCGTGCCGCCATGTGTTTGTTTAGATATCAGTGTGAATAGCAGCCCTGTTTCAGACACGGCCGGCCTGCCGGCGTTTCCGGCACGGGCACGATAATGAGACGTTGATTGACGGCACATGTGGTTCACATCTGAACAGTTTCAAAGAAAGAATTTATCGACAATGCTGACACCCCTCTGTGTGAAAGGTCAGATCAGTGGTCGCGACCTCAATCGTCCTTATACATGCAAAGGTCAAAAGCTGAGGTCCACTTTCACACTGAAAGGGGTGTCCATCGGCGGTCTAAACGCATCATTTTGACGCACTAAAACACACATACTAAAAAACCAAAACAACGTGCACCATCTACAGCCCAACAGCAAAACGTATACCAACTCCCAGACATATCCGTCCACCCAAACGCGAGAAACGGGTGCGAACGCAATTTTCGTCTTCCCTCACAAAACCTCCGCGCTCGGGATGTACATCCCTACCCGGAGGTAATGACTCTCGTCTTCAATCTCATTTAGGTTACAGTAATGACAATTGTTTTGTTACAGAGGAATGTGGTTGTGTCTACACTTTTCAACAAGAAGTTTGTGTGAGCTAATCCGAAGTCTAAAACTAGAAAGGTAACATTTGCAAAGCAAATGCATAATGTTTACCTTTGCATATGTTCTGCTCTGTTAATTCTTACTCAAACACATTCACATATATGGTGATAGGAGTCTAAATCCCCCTACTATAAAATTGCAACATTATGTAACCCAACACCAGTTACCATGGAGAGAGACAGTCTGGTTATTGACCAGGTCAGAGGTCAGTGTTTGGAACGAAAGAAGAAGAAACAGAACAAAAACAATATGTTTTCCTTCGGTAAACATAAAAATCCTTCACTCGTCACAATTGACTCAAAAATGGATGGTGCCTAGGGCCCTGTTCAATCTGAAACACCACAGGTCCAAAAGTAGGTCATGCTTTAATGGTTTTGAAGGAAAACTGGGTAACACAATTTTGCTTTTAGAACTGCTTAACGGACTTTACACATGGGATCCAGTAAGGCCGCAGCAAGTAAATTTTATGGATGACATCCACCGCAAACTCCAAATCTAATGTGATAGGACGAAAAAAAAACAAGGCGGGCGAAAAAACAAGATTCCTACATTTCTATCATAAACCTTGTAAAACAAGAAATAATACCTATATTGTGCTGGGTTTCTGCCAACTGTTACAACATCCATTCTTCAATGAAAAACGAAGTTTTCAAGCATTGTACAAATTGTTTTGATTCAGTGGGAACATCACATATAAAAGTAATGAAATACATCCCTACATCAAGTTTGAAAGTAAAAGAATAATAAATTATAGCCTTGCCTTGTCTCCTCTCTTCATATTTATCTGCCATCCAAGTTCCGGCATGTCAACAGACATCATTGCCTATTTTCGGCATGTTGACCACTGTCAGAGTTTCTTGTTTTTTTCCCTTCCAAATCAGGCGAAAATTAATGCGCGCGCTGATGTCATCCATGAAAATTACTCGAAATATTTCGTTTATGTATATATCTTTATTGTTTACTTTTAGTTGTAAATCATACTTAACTTAAGCCATTAGAAGCTGCCACTGTATGGTATAAAGACAAATAAGCCATTCATTAATAGTATAGGTCGATTCATCTATAGTCTTGTACGTAGGTGTTTTTTTTTTCACAAACATGTCTGTCTGTATTTATGGTTCGTGGTGTGGTGAAACCATATTGTTTTTTGCTGATGATTCTTCTCCTTCTCCTCCTGCCATTTCTTTAAATGGATTCAGCTTCTTCATTTTGGGGCCTAAGGACCTGAAATTTGGTATGGAGGTACAGTGGACAAATACCCCTAGGCGTTTTTTAAATTTTTGTGATACAGGCTTTTAGAATGGTTTTATTTGAGCTTTTTGGCTGTGTTATAGCAAATGTATTACTGTGTTAGTGGGCACGTTTGGGCATGAGTCATCACAATGGAATGCAGGGCATCAACCAATAGGCATGCAGCTATCCTCTATTCTTCTTGCTGATTGGCTGTTGGGATTTAACTTGATTAACACCTGCACAGAGCATTTCCACCTGCACAGAGCATTTCTTGCTGATTGGCTGTTGGGATTTAACCTGATTAACACCTGCACAGAGCATTTCCATACTGACAGTATGTCTGTATTCAAGTGTTTTGGTAGGTATTTCAAGCTTTCCTGCTCCAGCATTGGAATGCGGGGCATGAACGTTTTTTTTTATTTTGAAAATCAACAGTTTGCATAATGAAATTAAAAATCCTAACCAATAATGTAGGGAATAGCTATCCAACTGTTGTAGTCTTAGTTGTATGTTACTTCATATTATAGTTATATCAATGTAAATCATTGTTTTCCCTTGTGTTTCTCATTCTTTCCCTGCCATGTCGTAAAATGTGGTGAAGCCATCGCTGTATTTGCTCCAAAGCAAATGTTGGCCTTTCTAGTTTCATTTCATTTTTATTTATTTAATTACCCAGGGTAAGCATATGGTCATGATGACGTTTTTCAAAGCTTTCTGCACAAAACATACATGATATAATAAAAGGAAAGGTATAAACTAGCTTAGGTACAATCACAGAGTCGTAATAATAAATGTAAGATAACAAACTAATAAAGTAAAGGAAACAAACTAAATAAATATGACAAATGATGTAAATAATATTGATAATGGAACTTAAATGCTTAATTGCAGACCTTACGAAAGTCACTGTACTTTTGTTGTGTCAATAAAGTTTAATTAATCTTTTTTTTTATATCACAGAGAGTCTCTGTTAGTGCATAGCTTCGTAGCACATAATAAATCATCTATTATTAATATCACTATTAAATGAAGAGAAAAGGAAAGTGTTGGAAGTAATAATGAAGCAGCCTACGGCTAAGTAACAGAAATAAACACGTGCACTAATTTTTCCCTACTTCAAGCCAGTCAAACATTTCGTAGATAATGAAAAACTCATACAGTTGTGACCGAGAAAGTTATTTCATTTCATTTATTTCAAAACCTTATAGCCCTGATGGACTAGTCTTCCAAGGCTCGTATGTACATGCAAAATACACATTTTGCAAAAAAATCGGCAATATTAACTCACAAGAAACACAAAAAACAGGTATCTACATACTTCCGAAAAGCATACATTTCGTTTTGAAAATCCTCAATTCATTTACGCTAACTCAGTCTGTTAAACTTACAAGGTTAAGTGCCAAGGTTAAAGCTTCGGTCACAACCCGCCGTACGTGCTTCTGCGTGCTGTCTACGTGCAAAAACGTGGGCAAACGTAGGGCATCCGTGCGTGGTGAGTACCACCTCCATACGGAATCCTACGGATTTTGGAACACGCAGACACGCCGTAGAACTTTAAGTGCATGTAAAACCTATTTCTGCGTGCGGTCTGCGGATTCACCACCCGTGCCTGCGAGTACGAGCGACGCGCGTGTCCCGTACGGTAAAGTTGCAATCGCACAGAGATCGTACGTTGTAAGCACGTACAACTCACGTACCACTTGCTCAACGTACGAAGCACGCAACCACTCACGGCCAGACTTGGCGTGCAGACCACACTCTTACACCTTGCGCAACCGTGCGAGTGACGTGCGAGTGACGAGCGTCGATGCCACTCCTTCCCCACGTTTTCAGAAATAACGTAGCAGACGTAGCCTCCCAAAAAACGTACGGACAAAAAGCACGTACGGCGGGTTGTGACCGTCGCTTAAAGGACAAATGCATACTGGATGTCAATTTGTTAAAACGTTCTACACTCGGTAGATACATTAAATGTTTAGTATTCCGAAACGATCGCTAGGAGTATACATACACTTCTGCATACACAACTGCTAGTTTAGGCCATGTTGATTTGATCATATGGATGACATCCTCCAGGAGCCCCAAAACTGATGCGCGCGTGCGAATAAAAACAAAGTTTTGCAAAAAAAAAAAGTTGTTTTCATTATGAAATCTACGTGGTTATGAGGGTTGAACAAATGGGACAGAATATGGTTTGGCGAATAATCTAATCCTCATGTTCATTACCTTACAATTTCGTCTTTTTTCGTTTGATTTTTGGCATTCTACGACATTGGTATAGTTTTTTACTTATTTTTTGTAACTTACGGTATATTTTTGCTCATTTTGCAACTGTTTTGTACGATTTACAGTATGGTTGTAAAACTTTTTTTTTTTGGTAAACGGCCGAAAATTCATGCGCGCGGGGATGTCATCCATATAATCAAATCAACATGGCCTAACTCCACTCCACACCCCCTCTTCTCCACCATGTTGCAGCTCGTCTGGTTCTACACTGTGACTTCAAAACCCCAGTACAACAGCTCCATGCGTCTCTGTCATGGCAGACTGTCAAGGAAAGGATTCTTGTAAACACTGTCTCTCAGCTACAGAGGGTCATTGCTACACATCAACCAGAAGTACTCTACAAACAGTTATGTCCTGTCTCCTACCACCACAGCCACAACACACGTCATGCTAGCCGAAACACATACTGTTTAATGAAACCCAAAACGAACGCCCTGAAGAAGACTTTCAATTTANAGATCCTTAACAGTTTGGAAC